GTCTTTCCTGCCAGAGCTGTCTGGCATGTTGTAAATGGGACGCTTGTTTCTTAGGACCGCCTGCTTCATTTAGGCAGATGCAAAGCATGGTTGGAACAAACAAATGAGTTCTGGCCCGGCTGAAGAGGGCCTGAACTCTTCTGCAGCAGAGTTTGTAAGTGAACTCTGCTGCAGGGAGGAAGTGACGTCCTTTATTTGCATGATTTATGGGTTTACAACTAAAAGCATACGCATACTTCTTTTTCTCCCTTTTATTTGTCATTACCTGAAACTTTCCTTAATAAAGTAAAACTTCCTCGTTTTAGTTTGACAGTTTAATTAGCTATAGGTACTATTTTTATGTACTAAATCCCAGAATAATGAAATAGGTTTTTAGTTCTTCCTAGGTCAAATATTTACAGACTCTAAAATTACAATCTTTTTATGCAATTAATATAAACCCAGATGTTCAGATGAATTTGTTGGCTTCTGATTACAACACTTGAATGGAACGGAGAAACACCTGTGGACGTATTTTAAGGCAACACCCCAAACACGCTGCTCCTTTGTGTGACCTAATAGAAAAATCTAAAGAAATAAGGCTGGAAATCAAGATTTGTGGACCTCGGACCAGATCGTCCTGGGGATAATATCCAGATGCCTCAGTGGTCATAAGCAAATCCCATGGGAACATCCAGCCATCATGCTGTTTAGAAGTGAGACGAGCTCTGTTGCCTGAAGTTAAACCACTTTTGATGCAAAACTTGCATCTTACTCCAAAGCAAAGCAACATAGAAAGACGCTGGGTAAAACTGGTAAAATATTTTCATTATCCAAAGTGAAATGAGTCATGTAGCGATAGGACCTGAGAGGCCAACCAGGAAGGGAGAAGCCATTCTGTCATTTTTTATCCTGTATGTGTACATATATTATTGTTTACCCTGTTTCATGGCAGGTCTGTTAATTGGAAGCCATATTAGGCTGCCTGTTAAAATCCTGCCGCTGAGACCTTAGGTGACATCAGAGCAGGGTTCTCTGCCTGTTTGTGTCGCTGTTTAGATGTTGGTGAATAAACACCCGGTGGGTCTGTAGCTTATCTCTGCCTCAAGCCTCCTGCTTAATCCAGCTGCTGAGGGCCACACTGACACGCCAAGAGCAATATATATATATATATATATATATATATATATATATATATATATAAAGCCTGATTACAGCTCGCAAATCCAGGAGGCACCGGTGACCCTTACACAATAAATGGCATCATACAAAAAAACAAAAAACAAAAAAAAACAAACAAACAGGAAATATTGAAGCCACATATCAAGACAACAACGAGAAAGTTAAAGTTTGGGTCTGTCAATTGAACAATGACCCACATTACCTACAAAGTGGTTTAAAAACAGATGAGTCAGTTCTGAAGAGGTCATTAGAGCCCTAATCTCAGCCCTGTTAGCTTGTGGGCAGATCTAAAAAGGTAAAATCCTAAAAAACTATTGAGAGAAGTTTGTAGAAGGATATCCAACATGCTTGATCAATGTTGCATAGTTTAAAAGTCAGTTCTACCAAATCCTAAGGATAGGCATATGAACTTCTGAATTTGAAGAAACGGAAGAAGATGAACTCTAAAATAATCCTCTCTCTCATTTATTTTGACATATATAGCAAATAAAAGTTATTGTGGTAATCCTGCCGAAAGTAAAAGGTTATGTTTCTCTCAGTGCTGTGTGAATATCTGGTTTCGATCATATGTGTAAACTGAAGCTGTTGTTATCGTTTCACTGCGTTAAGTGAATTTCTGGTTAGGTCTGGTTTCAAAAATGCAGTCCTGAAGTGAAGCAAACCAAATAAAAATCTTAAATTGTTTAACAGTTATTCTAATTTTTATTAAGTTCCCCATTGAGTTTATGCGTTTTATAGGGTGTTAGATATATAACTGTGGAGTGGAATGCGTGAACCGTTTTGTTATGACATGCGTTGGTCACCATTGGCTTCAGCCTTGGCCTCCTCTGTAGCTGGCTTGCAAATTGTCAGAGTCATGCTGAGGTCCAAGTATAAAAGGTTTAACTCCTTACATCTGGGACTTTTTCTGAGTTCAAGATGTATTCCTCAGGTAAAGAGCCAGATTGGACCAGAATCCTCATCAGCCGCTGCTGAGGCCAACATTCACGATGCAAAAGCAGCAGACGTTTTTGGTCCTTTTTTGGGAAATTCAAGTTTTTAAACCAATTGTGACGTTTATACCACAGTATAGTCGTGAAAAGTGATATGGACCAATGGCCGTTCATCACTTTAAGCTTACAGTCATAATACATGATGCTTGTTTTTCATCCTCACTCTGCATGAGAAAGGTGTGGGAGACTCTCCTTTGACTGCTGTTCAGGACAAGTAGGCGGCCAGCTTTTTCTACGTCTGTAAAGGTTAGTAGGTGTGAATGAGTCAGTCGGCTGTTAGACCAGCACAAAAGCCAGTTGTGGAGCTTTTAGATAGCCCCCAATATAACTTTTTAGCACCAATCAGAAGTGGTAAAAGAAGAAGAAAAAGAAGAAGAAAAAAAAGAGTCAGAAGACAGCCAAAGGCGGCAAGGGGAGTAGAGCTCTTCTGTAATTACAACATGGTCCTAAAAAGCAAATACCAAGCCCTAGCAACCTCAGTTGGGAGACAGAGAAAAGAGGAGTGGGTGGGAGGGGTGGCAGCACTGGAGAGGAGGGGTAGAAAAAATAGGCAAAGGGAGTTAAGAAACACCACAGAAAGCGACCCTGCAATGACCTCGGCTCTCCAACAATCGTCCCCTGCCAGCTGGAGCCAGGGTTAGGGGCGAGAGCGAGGGGCCGGGCAGGTTCCCCTCCGATTTATGACTGACTACAAGGCCCCTGAAAGAAACCCAATCACCCAGGATTCCTGCGCAGCATGACTCTGGCTGCAGAGAATAGATGGCCCTGGAGAGTGTGGGACAGCGGCAGAGCCAACGGCGAATACACAGGCACTGACACAGAGGGCCACTTCACCAGGGGGAGGGCCGCCGGGCAACTGGCTCCATTATGTGCAGCTCTCCTCATTGAGCATGATATCATTGCGCCGCACCGACACCATCCTCAGCCGCTGCCCAAACTCATCCCCTGAACTCCTCTTTGTCCGACATATTTCGCAACGTGGATTTACATGCACTGGGCTAATTGCTCTATCTGTCTAATTAGTGGAAATGTAATGGTTATTAAATTTCAACCTGGTATCAATGTAGAGTGGGGGGGTGGAAAGAGAGAGGCAGGCTCAGAGCAGGGCATGAAAAGAAAGGGAGAAGGCAGCTGTCTTTTAAAACGGGGTAAGCCGCGCTCGGAGCTACCCCGCTGCTCCATTAGCATATCTGAATGATCCTGTTCCTGCGCAGCCGCCACCACGCTGCAAGGTGGCACATCTGAAGAGCGCAGCCTTTGAGCGTGCTCGCGAGCTTGGGAAACTCTTATTTTTCGAGCCGTTTGAAAATCCGGAGACAACTTGATGTTTGAGGAGTCGACAAAAATAAAAGAAGGCGAGGGAGAGAGAGTGAGAGAGAGAGAGAGAGAAAGGTTGCAGAAGAGAGGAGAAAAGTTTCAGATTTTTTTCAGGAGGACAGAGTTTTACAAGCTTTTTGAAGCTGGGATGCTTAATAATTCACTTGATGCTACAAGCAGCAGTGAGGCATCGTGGAAATGCACACTTGTGCGCGACAACGGTTCTCAGTGCCTGTGTGGCGTCAAAAGGAAAGTTTGTCACAACCTCTGGTTCGGGACAGAACTGTGGCACTTCGATGAGAGACTTAATTTCAGGGATCCCTCTAAAGCAAGTCGGCTTTCAAAAGAAACATCATTAAAAGCTCAAAATCAAACGAACTAAAATCCCCGTTTAGTCCTGGCTTCACACTTCAGGGGTATAAGGGGTTCTTAAATGTTATGATCAATAGCCACGACCTCATTTCGAGATAACCCTAACCTTAATTTTTGACAGTAAAGTGTATGAGCGCTCTGATTCTCCAGGAAATTTAAATTTAGTGCTTTCATCCATTTTCTGTAGACAAATCATATTTACAGACTGGTGCATATCATCCATTGGTGGAGAGAGAAGCTCTGAGTCCAGCTGACTGCTAATTTATCTTTGATTTAGTAAATTATGTTCATGTTTTAACAAATAAGTCTGATTTCACAGGGCAGGGATCCTTTTGCTCTCGTGACACCACCTTCGGCTCCCATTGCTCAACAACTTTAAAATCCGCCCATAACGGTTAGCATCCATCTTTACCTCCATAAACATACCTTCTTCTTCTAAACATGGATATTTTTTGTGTTTACGAGTTTGTAAACCGTTCACATACAACTCTAATTGCGGTCGCCTACGTTTCTTGCACCTACAAATAACATCTTATTTGTTGGTGCCTTTCTTCGATCTCAACGTCACCTTACGTCATTTAACGTAAAAAACAGACAGAAAGGTATGAGTGGAACCAGATGAGCAGTGCATTTGTCCAGGAGGATATTGTGTGAAATAAGGCCAAAGGTCGCAGTCAGACCAATCAGAAGCAGTTTGGATAATGAACCAGAATCAGCAGCAAGGAGGAGGCCATTGGTGATTTTGAGCGGTGCTGTTTCGGTTCTGTGGAGCTGCTGGAACTGGCTTAAATTATTGCAAGATAGATGAGCATGAAGTACAAATATAAGTTTTTTTTTTCAAGAATTATAGAATTGAAAGAAAGATTTGAGATAGGGTGACGTTTTTGTGGTCTAAACCAGGTTTCCTGAGAGAACTAGCTCTTATTTCTCCTTTTCAGCTTGATTTTATTTGGCACAATCTCTGTTGGAGTTGAAGTTTACTTTCACGTTTCCTTGCTTTTTGGATTAGGCCCATATTGTCTAGGTTGCCTAGGTTTGTCTAGGTTCTGTCACTGGATAACAATTTTGCACAAAGAGCGCCTGCATTGTTGGTTTACTAACTGCACATAAAAATCCCACTGTTATGGGTTATGTCGCATCTGAAATAAGATTAAATAGAAACGCATGACTTTGAAGTTTAATGAAAGGATGCCATTTTGATCCTTCCGAAAGAATAGAAGTTTTTTTTTATTTTTATTTAACAATTCACCAGCAGCACTGGATATAAGCAGTACAGCATTTTAAACATATAACGTACAAAGCAGTTATCGCCATCTTTTTTTCGCTAAATGTGTCAGAGCTTAGGGATTTTTTTTTCCTCTCATTTTTTTTTTTCTTCCTCCCTTGAAGTTGGTCTCCCCTCAGCCACAAAGCGGGTTTCCATTGACTGATTCCAGGGAGCGTATTGATGGTTCCATAATTTGGGCACAGGAACACAAAAAGGCTGACCCCCGCTGGGCTCAGCACGACAGCCCAGTCAGCGGGGAGGCTTGCATTTATTAGCCTGGGAGAAGAGCTCCTGCAGAATTAAAGCACATTCACCCACCCATTGATCTCTGTCATGAAAACAATGCTCGCCTCCCTCTCTGGCAGCGAGCTCGGCACTGTGCGCGCTCTGAGGTAATTCGGCAGCCATAGAAAAACGGGATGGCTCACACCCTCGGGCTCAGAGCAAACGATTTTTTGTTTTTAAACTTAGAGGAATGGGATGAAAAAAAAAAGACATATTAGATTATCAATCCGCCTGTCTGACTGTATTACTCTGAGAACTGAGATGAATGATCTCTGAATGGGAATGTTGTCCAAGGAGCAGAAAGTGCTGCTTTGGATGAGTTTTGTGGCATTCTCAATGCACGTTTCAGCAGATTCAAAGACTTTCTCTGTTTTCCGTTTCTTGAAGTTGGCTGTAAATTTGAGAGCACCTGCTTCTCGCAGCATCAGATCAGAACAATGTATTGAATTGCTGTCGCCACCACAGTATCAATGTGAGCAATATTGCCATGTCACATCACTATTGTGATGTGACACTATTGTATTTCATAGCTTGATCTTTCCATTTCTGATTGTTAGTAGTACATATAGCTGAGACCAGATAAACATTGTATGAAATGTGAAATGACACATAACCCTTTTCTCTCTCTTCCTCACATAAAAGTCAAAGATTACTATTATAAAAACAAAAAGTTAGAATCACCTAATTTATTTATATTTTCTAAATGCTGGAAAAATGAGAGAGATAATTTTTCATTTTTAGGAAAAAAAAAAAAAAAATATATATATATATATATATATATATATATATATATATATATATATATATATATATATCAGCAAATATATATATTTGCTGAAATTTGCCTTTTAAACTGGGCATCCTTCTGCAAAAAATCTTGTGCTATTCCTTATAGATCTGGAACCTTATAGCTTTTAGCTTCATGAGGTTCACTGTCTATTTTTCTAACTGCTAGCTAGGAAAAAACTCTGGTTATACATTAAATAAGGGTGACTGCAAATTTGGGCAACATGTTCCAACACTTAGAGTCTACCCTCACCATCTTAGTTTCTGTTAATCCACTGATAATAGCCTTCATCATCTCCTAAAATACCAGAGAATCAGTCACAAGACACAAGCATTCCTTCAAGTATCTTAAGTCAAAGACACGTCACATGAAACATAGACAGATTAGTTTAACACTCCAGCGTTATACCCGCTTGAAAAAAAGTTTGATGCAAACCTTTTCTGGAAACCGTCTGAAACAATTATGTCTCGAGGAAGCTGCAGCGGGGAGGGAACCGCTCAAACCTCCCTTTGTGTCGGTGTTGGGTGTACACAACCCTGACTGTTGACCTGAGGAATTGTCAGGGCTTTGATGCTGCTTTCAGTGGCCAGCGTCCAATGGGAGAAAGGCTTTGCGGACGGCCCGGTCAACTCCTTACACGCAGGCCGCAGTGTCAACACACAAGGCTGGAAGACAGAAAATGTCACACTTCACATATAGTTGAAAGGAGCAGTGCATCTCATTATGCCACCTACAGCTGCTTTTGTCAGCTGGGGCTTGATGTGTGGAGGGGAAGTGCTCAGGGAGACGCCATGGCCTGGTATGGGGCCTGCTGCTGCCTCGTTTGAAGTCAGTGTTGGGACAAGGCCTTTCATATTTACAGAAAAAAAGGAAAACTCAAGGGAAGGCTGTGATTGGCAAACTGTTTTGTTGGTGCAATAAGTGGCTTGGGCTAAACGCTATTGCACCTGCCCCGCTCATCAACCCTCCTCACAGCCCCTGGAGTTTTTAAAAAAACAGTGCTTTGCATGCAGTTTTTTTTTTTTTTTCTGGCTCCTCAAACATGAAACTTCCTTTAATCTATTCTTACTCAAAAAACCATTCAAACATCTTACATAAATTATGCTCTTAGCATTAGAATCAAAGGCAAGCAGCAGCCCTCCTCATGTTGTCAGTGAGCTTTTTGATGGACAGATATTTTTTTAGGCTGGCTGTATGAGTGGCATATGTATTAGGATTCTAAAAGCGACTTTGAAACTCGGCTACATCCTTCGGTTACAGTTGGAACAATCTTCTACACTGTAACATCACTCTTTTAATTAATTCAGCATATATGAGAAATCCACTATTCCCTCTGTCTGATGTTGTAGATGGTTTAATAAGCCGAAACATTCAAGTGTGACAATAAAGCAAAAATCAAAAGATAGCAGAGTAGAAGCTGTCTTACCTTAGATACCTCCCAGCTGCTCATAAACTCTGTGTCATCTTATGAGCAGCTTCTTTATCTGTGCATGTTGACTTAGTGAATTTTTCAGACGCCTTAAATGTGACAAATCGGATGCAGTTTGTTGTTTTCTCTTTTACGTAATGCACACACGTATTCTTGCTTAAATCTATTCATCCTACTACTTTTTTTTTTAAACACTAATACCAACCATATGCCTCATCCCACTCCAAGTTCCACTCAGAAGTTGACAACCCTGCTGATACTTGTGTTTGTTTAGGCTCTGTGCCGTACTACACAGCGACCAATTCATCCAAAAAGACAGTGATGGATTTCGTGATACTTCTCATCATAACTTTTATCAAACACTTCAAAATTTTTAAGTCTACATCAGCCACTCCTAGTTAGCAGCATCTGTTTGATCCACACATGACAGCGGCATCGACCTTTACGTCAAACTCCCAGCATGAAAGCAAGTAAGCACATTTCACAAAATGTCAAACTTTTCCCTTCCGTGAAGGTATTAGACTTTTCAGTGTTAACGACGACTATAATCAAACAATCTTCTGCTCCAAATGCAGAATCTGTGTCTGCCATAGTGAGCACTTCAAATAATTTTCCTCCCTTTATTTGGGCTTTTTGCTGTTCATAATGGGTGGAATTAAAGGCCTAACTTTCCTTCCTCTTCCTCTTCCGCCTTTTCTTTAGCATTAAATCTATTTCATTGTCCAAGGGACTGTACGAAACGTTTGACAGGAAGAGGATCCTTATGGCACGTTAAATGCGCCTTGCACTTCAAATGAAAAGTTTGATCCCGCGTCCTTCCTCTTTGTTGCAAACGAGAGAAAGAAGATGTGGCGGTGCTGAATGGCACACCTCAAACCACCGTGGAAGCTCGTAGTCCCAGCCTGCCTTTGTGGAAAAGAAAAAGATGAAGAAAAAAAAAGAAAAACACACAAACAAACAAAAAAGAAGAGAAACAGAAAAGAGAGCACATTTCACTGTGAGTGTGTGCGTGTGTTTGGAGGGCGGGGTGGAGTGGGGGCAAATAGGCTCTCTTCTTATCTTTGTTCAAATAGCGTGGAAAGGGAAAGTCAGGAGCCACACAAAGAAGGGAGAGAGCAGAGTGGAAACAAAGCCAGGCACAAGATAATGACAAGGTCAAGTGTGTGCTCAATGGTTGAGTTCAGTCACAGAGAGATAAGGCTCAACTGCCTGACAAGGTGTGTGCAGCACAGGGGGAATGGCAGGTCAGCTAAAGCTCTGGGGATGCAACCATAATCTCCCAATACAGCTGTGTGGATGGAGAAACGAAAAGAAAAAAATAAACAGTTCAGCAGCACCATCTGCTGGAGAGATCTGCATGTTTACTGTCGGGTTCACAAGCACAGATTATTCCAAAACCCACAGCACGATACTGTAAAGTATCAGAATCTATAAATCGAGCCTGTGTATGAATCTATGTTTTGTTTCTGCCTGCTCCCTTCATTGTCAAACCTGATTCCTCCAGAATCAGGTTTGACAATAACAAACAGTTTGACAAGGAAAAATCCTCGTCTTCCTTTGAAGTGTGGAAATTGTGTTTTTTAAAATTATTCTTCTGTTCCTGAGGAGTTCTTCACTAGCTGTGGGGGTGGGGGGGGATTTAAAGAAGGAGAGCACAGAGATCCCTCCACCCATCCGAAGCCGAGCATGACATTAGGTTTGATTTCAAACGACAACAAATAACGAGCGAAAGGGCTACAGGCTCACAACTTACTCTCGCGGACCATAAAGGATAGGATTAGTTGAAGGCCATCTCTGATGTGTCAGTCATCTCCAGGAGAGGGGAGAAGGAGAACACGAGATAAAACGTCTTTTTGGTTAGGCCAGCAAAGTGAAAGAGGAGAGAAAGAGATGGAGAGATATGCTTCGATAGATCTCTGATACAACTGATCTTGATGCTGACCCTAATTCTGATCTGGAATTCTGATCTCATGCCTGGATGAAGGGACAGAGAGCCTTTAAGGGGTGGCGTTCGCACGAGAAAAAAAAAAGAAAAAAAAAAAAAGCCTTGGGCAGATACTCAGAGGTGGGCCGGGTCGGTGGGACGTCAGGAGGCACTTTGACCACTCGGAGCCTTGAAGTTAGGATGGGCAGAGATCCTGTTAAGTCTCAGCCAACACATTCAGGCTGAGGATGTGCTCTGAGAGGAGGCTCCAGGAGAGAGCGATTGAAGCAAACTACAGGGAACAGGCTGGCTCTGCTGCTGAGGCTGATAAAGGAGAGAGTCAGCAGCACTTTGCTCTGCTTCATTTGCCTATTTTAGATGCTACGGAGGCACTTTAGGGGAGAGGGGGAATGTTTTTTTTGTCTTCTTGATTGCTTGAATGAAAACCACAAAGTTGGTGAAATTTCAAATGATTCCAGACCTTGGCTTTCGCACCCCAGAGATTGCTTCTTTTGCGGGGAGATAGTAGAGAAGCTCCAATGA